CAGGAATGCAAATAAACTTAGACTGAAAGGCATCAGCTGTCAGGAAAGTAGCTTACCTGGAGTGCTGTACAGCATCTCCTAAGCAACACAGTTTGTCCCACCTTCCAATGTCAATTCTGGCTTTTCATAGAATAGCATGTCATACTCTAGGTCCTGGTGTGTTTTGCCAAGGTGCTCAACAGCTTGACCTAAGCAGGCTGCTAAGGTTATCTAGCAGATCCCATTAAGGTTTAGGCTGAACATGGTAGTTACAGTTCTGGTCCTCAGGCCACAAGGAGCTTTTCGCTGCTAAGGGAAGTCTTATCTGTACCTGGGACAGCAGTGTCTCTGAGGCTGGTCCCAGACTCCGGAATGAACTCCTGCTATAAACTGCATGACCTACATCTCCAGGGATGAGTCATGTTCCCTCCACCTACCTCAAAAATAACAGTACAAGACACAGGTATGAATGTTTGTTTTAAAATTAAAAACACATTAAATCCACAGGCAATTTTCCCCTGAAGAAAGGAAGAGAAGAAGGAGGTAACCTCATATGACTCATACTGGCTCCATCTCTTGGGGTACCACTGGAAGATGTGCAGGCACGATGATGAGAATGGTATAAGAACGTGTGTAGAATAAACAAGACTAGGACTCTTCCATATGTCCTGCAAATAAATTTCCTAATTCAGAATTATTGTGGCAGGGATTCCTCTTTTCAAGATCTTTGTGCTCAATCTGGAGAAAACTGGCTGTTGTAGAACATTTCAGTATCTTCTCCCTGGAATAAGCCTGTTCTAGATTATTGTGTTGTGCCCTCAACAGGGAATTCCCTGCTCAAGAGCACTGTCTTTATTGGGGCATGCTTAGATCTGCTTCATGTCTTGTCCTAATGCTGACCAGTTCTCCCTGCTAGATTGCTGGTAGCAAATGTGCTTGCAGGGACAGCATTAGGTGCTGTCTGACAAGTCAGGTTTCTGTCTGAGACTCTTGAGGGGAACAGGATCTCCTGTAATTAGAGTGAAGAAAAACAACCCCTCCCCCATTATATAAGTCTCATCTTGTATGTGGTAACCCCCCAGAGAGAAGAGGATCTATTAATGAACATGCCTTCCTCTAGACGCACAAGCACAGAGCATCCCCTGAGAGTGCTGCAATCGGCTGCAGTTCGCTCTTACTGGCCTACTTTCCAAGCTACGTCAAAACCAGGTTTACAGAGCAGAGGAGTCTCAGTAAAGAAGACTAGAAATACTCCTCATACCAGCAGAGAGCATGCTGTAATCCTAAGCTCGGTGCTTACACAGCAGGCACCAAGCTAGAGCTGTTTGGCAGTTACCCTGGCCGGCCTATAATCCAGGCTAGGAGAAAGGTGCTGTGTGAAGTGAGTGGGAGCATTACAATGGTAAATCTGTCACATCTGACTGGTCACAAGTAACCACGAGCTCAGGGTAGGGCTCCAAGCTCAATGTGAAGATGAGATTGATTTGGCTACCAGCAGAGCTAAGAAGATTGTCTGTTTGGAGGTGTTCTAAAAGAAGATCTGAAATTCACTGAGAGCACAGAACCCATTGCAGCCTGAGTGGCACTTGTTCTGTATTTTACTCTGCTTTTTGTTGGGGGGTGAATGGCAACATATTTAGTGCTGGAATTTCCTCCCAGTACTGTAAGCTGTGTAGCCACGTCTTTGGCATGAGAACTGGCAGGAGATTTCAGCTGGATGCAGAAGCTGCCCGGTGGAATTGTTCTGTAGTGTCAGGCAGGATAGACCAGATGATCATAATGGTCTCTTCTGACCTTAACAGCTATGAAACTTGAAGTCTGAAGTGCAAAAAAAAGCAAAAATTACAAGGCCTCTGGCAGGACACAGAGTGTCCTGTCTCTGTGAAGGGGCCTCTACTTTGAGAAGGAGTAAGAGTAAGGGAGTGGGCGGAGGCATATAAAGCCAGTCAGGTGCCTAGTGACCTGCCTTCATTCCTGGGTGGAATGGAGAGACAGAGTATTCACACTGACAAAAGGAAACCCTCGTCTGTCTTCTTTTACAAAGACTATATAAATACCTTGTGCAATATGCTGCAGTAGGCTGTTATTGAAGCAAATGCTTTGGTGAGACTGAGAAGCTCAAGCAGTTATGCGAATTTCCAAGCAAAACCAGAGCTGGAAAAGCCTGCCTGGACTGCAGGGAGGGACGAGGGTTGGAGGAGCATTTCCACAGGGTCCAGTGGGCTGGCTAGAAGGTACCCACAAAGATCTTTAGGCCAGAAGGTACCTGCAGAGGGGTTATGTGGATACACAAGAAGCAAGTCTGCTCTCTGAACTCCCTAACTCCACTCTGGCTACATCTATATGAGATGCTTATTGTGCAGTTGTTCCTGCATATTCATGTTCCACTGAATGGCTTTTTGGTGACACTGACTGCACAGTAGCTCATCAATACTACGCAGTAACGTCATGTCACGCTTCCTGTCACGTGACACTTCTGCGCAGTAGTCACGAGTTACTGCACAGTCAGCGTCTCATGTAGATGCACCCTCTTGTTTGGGAATTTCTGGTTTCTGGTCCGTACCAAGGGGTTGGACTCAGATTGGTATATATGGGTTGGAGACTGTGAACCCTTTCATGTGAACTCCAGCCAGTGCATGAGAAGGGGGCCCAGGAGTGGTGGGACTTTTTCCAGGTGGAGCATGGAGAGAATGGGTGGGAATGAAGAGGCTTTTAGACTCATGGCAGTTTTTATCATTAGACTATTTAAGCAATTAAGGGGTCCACCTAGGCAAATTACTGCCTTTCCTAATCCACAGTCTATGCCTGCCCTGGTGCCCCATGCACCTAACTAAGCTATGTTCATTTCAGTGTAGCCCTACATGTCAGTACTTTCTGACTGAAAATCTGTTACATGATCTTCATCCCCTCTCTCCATGCCCTGATGATCTCCCATATTCCCACCATATGTCCTTTCTTCATGTGTCTCTGTCCATGTCCCTCCCAGTCCTGTCTCCCATACTTGCTCCTGGATTCCTGCTCCAGTCTCCTAGCTTTTCATGCCCCTCCAGCTCTGGCTCAGCTAAGCAGCTGCAGCAGTGCAGTCTAGAGGCAGTAGCAGGTGAAGTTATATCTGCAAACCTTCAGATCATAGTGTGTTCAGTCTAGTTCAAAGTAGGGTTCCCAGACTCTGGAATGACACTTTTTTGGTCCTGAAGATCAATTGTTAGAAAAACTGTGTATAGTGGTAAATTAAAGATGTGTACCTGGACTGCACTATGACACTATGGGATGGAAGGGTTTGAAGCATCGCTAAAGAAAGAGAAAAAAGTGTGGGATGCTCTTCTGCCTCCTCTGCAGCCCCAGGGCTGTTATAGCCCTTTTGACTACCACACTGTGAGAGCCCCAGGAAGAGCAGGGTAGGAGCTAGACCAACTCTGCCTCCGCCTAGGGTGGGGCCTAACTGAAATTAGTTCCCTTCCTCACAAGAGCTCCCAAGGCAGTCCAGAAGGAGTTGAGAATCAGCAGCCAGTTACAGGCCCCCTTTCTCAGTCTTAGCAAAAGTTCTAGCTCAGGGATCTGCAGCATCTAGCAGTAGCTATCTGTATCCCACCCACCAGCATGGGATAGCAAGGACCCATGTGCATCTGTGTAAGAAGTTAGGAGCTAACTAGGCTGGTTCCACACTTGGTAAGGACAGCCTTAAGCTGAGACAACCCCCTTCCCTGGCCATTCCCTTGCTACCTCTCTATCCCAGCTCCTCATCTCAGTAGGGCTGTACCCTCACATCAGTCCCCTGGCCCCTATTCTCAACAGTGACGCCATCACTTCTTTTCCTTAACCCTCCTATCTACAAAGTGACCATTTTACTCACACCCCTGGTCCATCTTGAGGAGGTAAATCTCTTTGTGTACCCCTGTCTCCCAGACCTTCTTTCCCCTTCTTTGCCTCATCTCTACAACATAGTGTTCCCCTTGCACCCATCTCCTAAACACTCTCCTTGCAAGGTGTCCCCCTTTCCCTATCTGCTCACTAGGACAACCAACCATTCCCCTCCATTGGACTCTCTCCTCAGCAAGGCAACCCCTTGATTCCTTCCTCACTCCTTCTCCTTTGGAGGAGAGCCCATTCTTTCTCTCTGCTCCAATGCCTCTCCTGATAACCTTGTTCCATCCCCCAGGTCCTCTCCTGAGTAGAGATAGCCACTCTGGCCCCTTCCTGATTCCCTACTAGGGTGACCCCTTTAGTCTTCTCCCCAGTCCTTCAACTCATCAGGGCAACT